GTGTGTGTGTGTGTGTGTGTGTGTGTGTGTGTGTGTGTGTGTGTGTGCTGAAGGCTAAAATATATGAAGAAGGGTTGCATGGACCGGGTATGTCTAGTCTAGTAAAAAGTCAGTTCAATTCAATTCAAACCTTCATTGTCAGAGTACAACACGTGTACAATAAGATTGGCTGAGCTTCCCTTCATGCACACACAGTCCCCCAACACAATAGAACTCACAGTGAAGATAGAAAATCCGTAACCCAGTGAATCCTGCTAACAAACACACAATCCTATTGCACCAATGGGAACTTATTGCACACTGTGCCGGCCTCGCAAGTCACTTGTACTATGTTGTTATAAGGTTATTTTACTTACAAGTAAGTGTGTCGTAGTAAGAACTAAGGGTGGCATGATAGCGGTGTTCCAAGATTTGAGGGGCTGCCACAAGGAAGGAGGGGGGAGTGTCGACCTGTTTCCCAAAGCGCCAGAAGCAACCTGGAATGGAGAAATTTCCTGACAGTGAGAACAATCAACCAGTGGAACAGCTTGTCTTGAGAAATTATGGATGCTCCAACACGAGGCTTTTAAGAGACCAGACAGTCATTCGTCTGAAATGGTATGGGGTCTCCTGTTAGAATGGGGTTGGACTAGCTGACCTCCGAGGCCCCTTCCAACTTTGTTATTCCATTGTGGCAGTGCCAACTGTCTGCAGAAGGTGTGTAGCAATGGTGAAAGATTACTTAGGGTGTGCAGAGCTCTGAATGTTAATGTGTGTGGGATGCCCAGAAGCAGAGGGATTAAACCCTCCTCCCCACATTAGACCTTGATGACGTGGAAATCAGTGGTGGGATTCAAAAATTTTTACGACTGGTTCTGTGGGCGTGGCTTGGTGGGCATGGCAGAGAAAGGATACTGTTAAATCTTCATTCCCTCCCCACCTCACTAACCTGCTTTCCAGGTTCGTTCTCCTGTGCAGGGCAACCAAAGAAGACCCAGCCAATCAGCTGGGTCTCGGGAGGCAGAGAATAGATGGGGGCGGGGCCAGTCAGAGGTGGGATTGGCCAGTTCTCCAAACTACTCAAAATTTCCGCGACTGGTTCTCCAGAACTGGTCAGAACCTGCTAAATACCGCCTCTGCATGGAATATCAGTGAGGTTTTTTTTTTTTCATCAGGTCAAGCAAAAATGAGTTAAAGGCAGAGCGAATGCAACCATCAATCCAGGACTGTAAATACTGCAATCTTCTTCTTCAATGAATCCAGTGTCCAATGTTGTTCGATGGATGTTCTGTGAATCCAGTGCTCTTCATCTACCGATAAGCTCCAAATATTTGGTATGAAAAGCCACATCGCATTAATATCTTTAAATCGTTTTTTTTTTAAAATAAAATGTTTTGGTTTTTTTCCAAGGTAACAGAAAAAGAAGAAAAGATACAAAGATATATACAGTGCATAACAAGTGCTTAAAAAATAAGTGAAAAAATACAACAGAAAAAAAATTAAAATACAGAATATATTAGTAGTCTTGACTTGCTAACTAGCCCTTTGTACTGTTTAAAATTACAACAGACTAAAAAAAAGCTACTGAAGAGCCATCCTGGGAGTTTTCACTGCAGCCCTCCTTCACTTGATTGCATTTCAAGTGGTTGCATTTCATTTACAATCAGTTGCAGCATCCTCTGGTTACATGATAACGATTTGTGAAGGGTTTTGTTTTTTTGTTGTTGTTGGTTTCCAGCAAAAATTGTCTATTGGATAAGTAGGATTCATTTAAGAACCACATGATTCACTTAGCAATTGTGTCATTCGCTACATAACCATGGTAACTTGCTTTACAACCATGGGAAAAGTGGCTGTAAAAAAAAATCTAGTCCCATCACAGAGTACATTGACTAACGATCCGCAATAACTTACAAGTGAAATTCCAGACTCGGTTGTGGTTTTAAGATGAGGATTACCTGTAATCGGGTGGACTGCTGGGGGTTCGCAAAGGTTTGGGAGATCCCCTAGCTAAGATTCTGCACAGTTTGGAGAATCCCCCCCAATCCCATTCCTGACTGGTCCTGCCCACCCCACCCCACCCTGCCCCTCCCAGGAGTCCCCACGTGGCCCGTTTTTGGATGCAGGTAATTGCAGGGCATGTGTGGAGGCTTGGGGAGGGTGAAAACGGCCTCCCGGAACTTCGAGAAGGCCAAAAATGGGCCCATTTCCGGTTTACAAAGAGCCTCCGGAGCCCGGGGAAGCCATTTTCACCCTCCCAGGGGCTCGAAGAAAGCCTCCGGAGCCCGGGGAGGGTAAAAATGCCTCCCCCGGCCATGGTGCAGAAGGCCGATTAGGCTATGCCCATCTTGGCCACATCCACCCAGCAATAGGGCAGAGAACCTGTTGCTAAAATTTTGGAAGCCCACCGCTGCCTGTAATATGTTGTTACAAAAGTAAACCTGAATAAACTTGCTATTTACGAGTGGATTGCCTATAAACATAGACTTTGCATGGATAAATATAATGAATAGTACTGAGGTAGTCCTCAACTTACAGCCACAATTGAGCCCAAACTTTCCATTATAAAGCAAGCTTATTATTTTAAAAGTTTAGTTCCATTTTATGACCTGTTCTGCCACAGCTGTTAAGCAAACAAATGCAGTGAATTGCTTAACAGCTGATTAAGTGAATCATGCAGTCATTACGTACAGGAACCTAGTTTCCCCCACTGACTTTGCTTGACAAAAGGTTGCAGAAGGAGATCACATGATCCCTGGATACTGCAACAAGTGCCCAAATTTTGATCATGTGACAAAGGGGATGCTGCAATGCTCATAAGTGTGAAAACCAGTCATGTCACTTTTTTCAGTGCTGTTGTAACTTTGAATGGTCACTAAACGAATGGTTGTAAGTTGAGGTCTACCTGTATGGAATTTATTTATACAAAATATAATAGGTTAAAAAAAACCATGTTGGTTACACACACACTTGCATAATGATTGCATTAGACCAGGGCTGTCAAACTCCTAGCCTGCGGGCCATATGCGTCACACACAGGCCACGCCCACACCCGGTTTAGCGAAGGGGGGAAAAGTCCTGATATGTCACATGACGATGTGACAATGTGAGTTTGACACCCTTACAATAGACAGTTATATATAGAATTGTAACTTTGCTATTGTAACAACATATTATATACAGGGATCTTCAAACTTGATAGCTTTAAGACTTGTGGACTTCAACTCCCAGAATCCCTCCTCTAGTCATGTTAGCTCAGGAATACTGGGAGTTGAAGTCCACAAGTCTTAAATTTGCCAAGTTTGAAGACCCTTGTTATATACATTAATATCTTTAAATCTTATGTCTCTAATGCCTTGTAACAAATTTTATAACATTAAACCATATCAGGACAACAATGGCATAAACTTTTGTCAGTTCATACTTCTAGCCAAATGGAGTTGCTGGCCAGCTTTTTCTAAACCTTTTCTTCTGTATCCAATAAACATTAAAAATCATATTATAATAACAAGGAACCTGGTTAATAATGTAAGACAGTTAACTATTGATTATTAATATAGAATGTTCCATTTCTTCTTCACAGAGTTTTTACAAACAACCAATATCAATCATAATAATATACTTTAATTGTCTAAAGAACGATAGATTTGGAATTGTAAAGTATATTTTTCAAAAATAATAATAATTCAAGAGTTGTAGACCTGGCAACAAATCCAGAGCAGACTATGAAATAAAAAAAAGTTTTAATCAAATCTGTTGCGTTTCTGTAATTTTAGACAATCCAAATGCTTTTTGCAATAATAAACCCCAGATGGCTTAAAAATTTTGTTGACAATAAGTTGAACTAAAGTGCAATGTTATTAATCCACAAACTTTTATACATACATAGATACACGAGTTTATAAAGTAACCTAAAGGTATAAAATTCATGAAATAAGAATCAACAACATATTTCTTTATATGCCTAGCTACCTACAGTGTTGGAAATATAACTGAATTTTGTCCAGAAGAACAAAAGTATTGCCAAAGTATTAAAAAGTTAACATAGGCATATCATTTTCATTTCCTCAGTTTTAAATTCCAGAAAGAAAATAGAAGAGAAAACATATGCTTAGTGATAAAACTGAAGATTGAGGAAGTTAAAATTTCCATTATCATGTAAAATTCATCAATGGCACAATTAGGTTTGTCCTTTCCAAATGCTAAAAATCCATTAAAGGTTTCAATATATCTCTCAGTCTTAAAGCATATTCAATTACATTTATTTTTACCTACCCATGAAGTCGTTTTTAATAATCACTTTACATCAGTGTTAATATGAGGCAGGGGCATATGTCAGGGCTGTCAATAATGTCAGAATGTGATTTATTTTATGCATCACAAAAGCCAGTTTGGTGTAGTGGTTAAGGCATCAGGTTAGAAATGCGAGGGACCATGAGTTCTAGTCTCGTGCTGAACACCAAGCCAGCTGGGTGACTTTGGGCTAGTCACTTTCTCTCGACCCTGGGAAGAAGACAATAGCAAATCACTTCTGAAAAAAATCTTGCCAAGAAAATTGTTGACTTTTCTAGGCAATCTCTGAGAATTGGACAAGATTGAGCAAAAGAAAAAAAATGCATCTTATACATGTTAAAAAGGGGGACAGCTTAACCACCTATTTGTACCTGTTATATTGACATCAATGTTGGGCACCCTTCATATACTTTGATATAAAGCAGGTATTTCTTAATTTGTTGTTACCAAAATGTTCACATGCAGTGCTTTTATATTCATAGGAAGTCCCAACACCCAGCTATCACTGTTTTAAGTTTAAGGTATGGTAATTCAATCACTGGCTTCCAAAAAAGTCATGGAAAAAATGCATAGTGCACTGGAATAAAACGTTTATGCTCTACCTATAGATAATATGATCATTTGAATTGGAAGCCACCTGACTATTATCCCAACATACTATGTACATTTTTATATCAATGTTTTCCCATATATTCACAGGTTTTCAGTGTATAGAGGGGTAATTCTCATTCTATGCATTGCACACAAAGTACAATCCATAACAAAGAACTGAAATGTTTTGCAGCCTGTAAATAACAAACAAAAATGTCATCTTTCCATACTTGTGTGGCAACTAATAACATTTGTAGAAAATTTGATAGCAAAATAATGCTAGCATGTTTGTAATTCTTGTTACCTTTTGAGCCTTATTTTATTTTATATGTTCTACTTTGTGGGTTGTATCCTCTAGGTTTTATTTAGTAAGACTGACTTGATCTGGATCACTGATCTGTAATAAAGAATTGGATTGGATAGGTTTGAATTGGACTGGATATTTAAGTAACCTTTTGTGCAATTGTAGAGCAGTATGGAGTTAGCACTGAAGAAAATATATGGCAGTCATTAGGAAAACATGAAAACAGGAAGGTATAAGAAAGATTGCCTTGCCTAGAGTCTCTTTGATGAAAGAGAGAACAAAAAAATTGCTGTCAAGATTTCAGGTTTGCTATAGTCTAAATATAGCTACATCTTATCTGTACATTGCCCAAAGTCAATGAGGGAGATGGGCAATTTAAAAATATGATAAATAAAAATAAATCATAATAAACATTATCAATAAAGTATAGAGTTTTGGTATTTCTTGCAGTATCCGTCACCAGTCCTGGTTTATCTCCAATGGCTTGGTTACACTTCATGATTATATTTCAGACTATGAATTGCTTACTATCCTGTTTGTTGAGAAATATGATTAATCTGGAATTAAGCATTTCAAACCATTTAGTATCTGGGGAAGAATTAAACACATTCAGTGGTACCTTGGTACTCAACTGCTTTGAAACTCATGCCAAATTTGGTTCTCAACGCATTTTGACATGAAAATTTTGTCCTGGTACTCAATGTTTGTTTGGTACTCAACACACAAACTAAAAAATGTTGGTGTCAGCTGCCTTATGGGAAAAAATTGTTTGGTACTCATAATTTTTGATACTCATCACGTCTCCTGAAGCCATTTAACAATGAGTACCAAGGTACCACTGTATTAAATTATTTGAAAAATAACCTGAAATCTTTAAATGGTAGCATTTCCTTCTAGGTTTATTTATCTTTGTATCAAGGATTAATTTTGTTTGTGATACGATTGATTTTATTGCTATTTATTGATGGGTCCATTCTTTTAAATATAATTTTATTATCATTTAATGTTGTGAATCAGCATGGGTTATGTCAGGAGTATGCAGAAACAAATAAAATATAAATAAAATAAATGCCACCGGTATTAAAGGAAGTCTCCAGATTTGTAAGCAGGAAATAACTGCCATTTGATTTTTCAGACTTTTTGACACACAACCAAGTAATATCTGAGGGTATTATCAAGGCAAACATCTTGGCTGAAGGCTGAGGCTTTTCTTGTTTGTGAGATGGTTAATCAGGAAGAAAAGTTCAAAAGAATACAGTTAGGAGAGCTATAGTCTTTTTTTCCTCATTCTTCTCTTTACATTATTCTGGATTGGACACTTGACAACTTCACTGACTTAAGAGAACTTTTTCATAAAATGTAGCTTCAAGTAAGAAATAGTGAGGAAAATGATAGTCATGCAAGCCAATGCCACGTGGTTCTGCCATAACCCCCAATTAGTTGCATCAATCCCTTGGCTTTCTAGATATTGTTTTCCAGTGCACCTAGAAAGAAATACAAGCAGAGATTTTTAACCATCAGAAACTCCACCACAGGTGTGACAATCTTGTGTGGTACCAAGAGAAGAGAATATTTGTAGTTCAGGGTTGAAATGAGGGGGTCCTTGGTGCTCTCTGAATTTGGTTGTTTTCTTGCAGACATTTCATAACCCAAACTAGATAGAGTCATCATCAGTACATCTGAATGAACGAAACATCTGCAAGAAAACAACCAAGCTCAGAGACCACCAAAGGAACCTTTGTCTTGTGTGGACCAAGGACTGCAACAATGGAGATGGCCACATCATATCCATGGATGTGGATTGGATTGAGGGTGGCCTTAAAACCATCACATATCCTGTTTCCCTGAAAATATGACCTATCCTGAAAGTAAGTCCTAGCTTGATGTGTGCCCAATATAAGCCCTATCCCCCCCGCCAAATAAGTCCTAATTAAGATCCCACTCACTCCAGAGTGGATGGGTAAAAATTATGCTAGGGTAGGGATGGGGGAGTGGAGCTGCCCTACTGCTTATCTTTGGACAGCTATAGCCAGGCCTTGCACACCCTGACACCTGCCTTGCCGGCCCATTTCTTCTGCAGCCAGCAAGGCTTTCTTGAAGGCCTCTGTAGCTGATAACAAAGCTCCGGATCGATCCAGAGCTCTGTTATCAGCTGCAGAGGCCTTCAGGAAAGCCTTGCTGGCCACATAAGAAGTTCCTAAAGGCCTCTGACAGCGAAAAGGAGATTGGGGGCAATGCGCAAGTGAGGTACATCCCCCGAAAATAAGACCTGGTGCCTTTTTGGTGGCAAAAATATAAGACAAGGTCTTATTTTTGGGAAAACATGGTAGCAATATTGTCATATCAGGCTAGTCATGTGATGAGCCACTTAATGACTGGCATGATTTACAATTATAATTCCAAACTCAGTTACGGTTTTAAGTTGTTGGTATTATCAGTGCAAAATCTTTAGAAAGAAAAACGTATTCTGGGGGACCCACCTGATCAGACTTAGGTGCTTTCTCCTCCTGATTCCCACTTTAAAGGATTCAAGACTTCATTAACAATCATATTAAAAAGGATAAGATGTCATTTCTTTCCCTTGTAATATCTCACACCAGGATTGTCTCAAGTCTTCAGTACTAGGTAGAGCTGAGAAAAACAGATCGTACTTACAGCTGAATTGTGCTAACTTCTGTGCAATTGGAGGTGATCCAGTTTTCATTTGTATGGGAATTGCAGAAGTCAAGGTCCACAAATTCATTAATCTGCAATGCCTTTGAAGATGAGGAAACAATAATGTTTTTGAAAGCATACCCAAAACAATGCATTCAGAAGTATTACATATTATGTGCATTAGACTTACAATATACCCATTGCTGTTAAAATTGCCCCCTTAGTTATATGTTTAGCTGCACTGGGGTCATAACCCATAAAGATGAATCAATATTCTCTCCTTCTATTATTAAACTCATAAAATCACAGAACAGAGATTCTGAGGTCTTGAAAGGATTGGATTTGTTTGCTATTCAGCAACATAATTTTGGGCTATAAAATGTTTGTGGATGGATGGACGGACGGACAGATGGATGGAAAGATACATATTGATCAATTCTTCATTTCAAGATGATGTAGCACTTACTGTCATGCCATATCGAGGGATGCTGAAGTATTGGAGCCAAGAAAGCCATGACTGAATACTGGTCAGATTTACCAACAACCCAGAGAAAATCTGCAGATAAAATCGAAGACGCAACATTCATTAAAAAAGGAAAGTAATTTTTGAAACTATAATCAAGAAATGATCAAACATTTCCAGGAATGTTAAAAGCTTTTTTTATTTTCTCAACTAAATCCATTTGCTTCCTTTGCGTGTCGTATCTTCTGTATCCCATCTCCCAGCTGGCTTGGTGGTAAGAGAAATGCCCATATTTGGGCAAGCTGGCTGATGTTGATGTATAACAGAACAGAACAGCATTATGTGGGGTACAGATGACAGTGGTGGGATTCAATTTTTTTTACTACCGGTTCTGTGGGCGTGGCTTGATGTGCGTGGTCTGGCTTGGTGGGCGTGGCAGGAGAAAGATACTGCAAAATCCCTATTCCCTCCCCACTCCTGGGGGAAAGTTACTACAAAATCCCATTCCCTCTCTACCCCATTAACCTGCTTTCCAGCTCCATTCTCCTGTGCAGGGCAACAAAAGCTCAGACTCGGGAAGCAGAGAATAGATGGGGGGGGCAGTCAGAGGTGGTATTTGCCGGTTCTCCGAACTACTCAAAATTTCCTCTACCAGTTCTCCAGAACTGGTCAGAACCTGCTGAATGCCACCTCTGACGGATGATGACAGGGAGAGAGGCAAGCAAATAGTTAGGGTTAGTCAATAAGGAAGTCACACTCATGCAATGGAAACACCATCTTCTAATGTGTGTTGTGGCAACAAATTCCAAAGAAAGGGGCTTTGATTCCATGGTTGGTGGTTGACAATTTTTTTGACCCCTTGGCTACCTCTGCAGTTGGACAAAGTAGCCTTAATGAGACATAATCATAAAAACTTACAATCATAAAAACAAAGCTGATAGTCATCAGAAGATTGGCAACAGCCACCACATTCTGTCCTGTAGCAATAGCAAGGGCCATAGAGGTTGCAGTGTATGACACCATCATCAGAGTGAACATCATTATAAAGAAAGCCTCTACAGTGGGCTTCAGGCCTTGAAAACAAGAAAAGCAGGATTGGAATGTCAATCCTATTATATTGTCAAACATTATTTTACCCTGAGGATTAGAATTTTTTTTTTGTTACATAATCCATTCTAATTTGCATAAAGGTGCTTTTTAGTTTTTATAATGTCTATAGTTTTACAGTTTAGTTTGATAACATCTATACACCAAACATTTGTGTGCAGATATATTTTTCCAGATAGGTAAAGGTGATAAACTTACCTAGCATGAAATAAACTATGCAGGTGAAAATTATGCTGGGTAGAGTCCTCATGGGTATTAAATCAGCCATTAGTTTTGAGAAGAAGTATGCAGAAATTCGATAGTATCCACTGATATATTCATGTCTATAACAAAACAGCCAAAAAAAAATATCAGATACTCAATTAACTTTCACTCATTAAAAATATAGATGTGTCATTTGTGAATTGCAGCAGAATGACCATTCCTTGGAAATTATCCTGACTGAAATAATTGCATTTGCAAAAGATCTACAGGTTTTACTTTGACCTCTTACAACCAGTGTACTCAGTATACCAAATAATAATGTAACTACTGTTTATGGAATAAATTACAAGCTGTAATCACACTCTATACCCGTGATGGCGAATCTATGGCATGTGTGTCAGAAGTGGCACGCAGAGCCATTTCTGCCGGCATGAGAGAGGTCGCCCGGAAGAGTCTCACTGCGCATGCACGCACGCTGCCCGCCCAACACTGATTGTCGGGTATCTGGCACGATGCGCAGGGGGCGGGGGGTGTATGGGAGATGTGCGCTCATGTGCAGAGATGCACAGGGTGCATGGGGGGTCTCGTGCACATGCGCAGGGGGTGTGGGAGGCACGCACATAGCCTTCTGGGTGGCTGGCATACGAGCATGTGTGTGTGCGAGCACAATTTTCAGCATGGGAGCCCAAAAAGATTAGTCGCCACTGCTCTATACATAAAACCTGTCTCAGCATTTCAGGCCTCTATGGCTGAGTTCACACACTAGATAAATAAATAAATCAATAAAACATTCACAAAATAAATCAGGGGTGGGATTCTACCAGTTCATACCTATTCGCTAGAACCGGTTGTTAGAAGAAATTACTGGGCTAAGCCTGAAAGGAAGGCAGGAAGGAAACATTCTGGTGTTGCTTACAGAAACTGCCTCTCCGTTAACCCTTATTACATTCTTGGCAGGACTAGACTTCCTATCTCAGGAACATCTCTGGAGTTTTTTCCCCCTCATTTGCTGGTATTTTGCTTGTGTGGAATGACCATTCAAAGTTACAATGGCACTGAAAAAAGTGACATCACCATTTTTCACACTTATGACTGTTGCAGCATCCCAACAGTCATCAGAGTCAAGACAAGGAGACAGTGCCTCGATGTGAGTGATATTGAGTTGGCCACGCCCAGCCAATAACATGACCACCAAGCCACACCCACCAACTAAGCCACGCCCACAGAACCAGTTGTTAAAAAATTGAATCGCACCCCTGAAATAAATATCACATTTTGATATATCTTGATAACAATATGTATCCTAATCACAAACTCCCATTCTTAGAATATACATATTTAATCATTATTTCTGCAAAAACGGTGATTCCTTATAATTTAAGCCATTTCATATTTGCCCCTGTATATTTTAAAAATTACAGATTAAAGCCGGCATTCCAAACTTTAAATAAGACCTTTTGTTTCAGGAAGACTTTGTATGTTTTTTTAATCTCTTCTATATCAGTTGTGCTTGCCAATTTGTTTTGAATGAATGTTTTGAATGTTCTTTTGTCTACTGATGGAGCCGTAGTGGCACCATGATTAGAATGCAGTATTGCAGGCTAATTCTGCCAACTGCCAATAGTTTGATCCTGCCAGCAGTTCAATCCTGACTGGCACAAGGTCATTCAGCCTTCCAGCGTTCCAAGGTCGGTAAAATGAGGACCCAAATTGTTGGGGGCAATAGGCTGACTCTATAAACCTCTTAGAGAGGGCTGTAAAGCACTGTGGAGATGTATATAAGTCTAAGTGCCATTGCTTGTACTACCCAGAATCATGGAGTAGGTGGCATTCTTAATAATTATCACAGATTAAAGTTACAAATAGTCATACAAACATAAGCCTATGTAACTGGTACATTGTGACCACTATCTTGAGTTTTTGGATTGCCCCATAAACATACACACAAACACCACAATGAAAGTCAAACTTGCACACGCCTTGAGGCCTTCTCAACTCCAAGGAGACTGCAAATGAAGAGTTAATAGATTAAAATATTTATCACCAAGTTCTTTTAAATGTTTATCACCTATTATTATAATTATTATTCCTATTTTGTCTAGGAATGCTTACTTACATAAATATTTTCTTCTCTACCACAAAGAGTTCAATTGCTGAGATGCTGCTGAAACACTGGTTAGTAGTCATAAAGAACATGGCACCAATTCTAGGAAAAACACAGATTGTCAATGTGAGAAACTAGTCTTTTTAAACAGCTTTTTTTAAAGAATAAAATAAAATAAAATAATTGAGCCTGGGTTTTATTTTCTTAGCAAAAAATGTTTTATCACTTGTGTTCTAGAAAGTAAACAGCAGATCAAAGAGAATGATTTAGAAAAGGAAGTTTCACTGGTTTTAAAATTTAAAATTTAAAAATTTATTTTAAAATTTAAAATAAATGATAAGCCTGGTTATTTTTTTCCTAAGAAGTTTTCAGAAAAGGAACAACTATCTTCCTTTAACTTGGATCAAAAATGTTTTATCAAAATTAAAACAAGAAAAGTTATTACTTCTGGCAACCTTTTATGTCAATTTTGTGTGGGCCGTGTTTTTTGGCTTTATAAGCAACAGATCTTGTTATTAAACAGTGAAGATGGCAGAAGTAAGGATGTCACTCTCTTTTATGAAAAGCACACCCTATTTCAATATTTCTAGCCTTTTTCATAGCAGAATTGAAGCGCTATCTCCAAAATATAATTTATTTATTGATGCCATTATGCAAAAACAGTACATAGTGATAAATATCGGACAAAATAGTGGAAGTCTCTACACTTCCCCATACATTCTTGTGTAATGAACACTTTCAATTTATTAAAATAAGGCTTCACTTTATTTTAAGCTATCATTGTTGGAATTCGTACTCAAAGCAAATATCACTCATTTGATCACCTTATTATCCCAAAAGGACTCACCTATTTTGCAGACCTTTGCTATCGTTTGTTACACCAAAGAATATGGCACCCACAACTAATCCCAGGAAAATCGTAACCAATAACTGAAATATAAATATATTATGTTCAGTTGTTTGTTTATACATCGTCATGGTGCACAAATTGACATCACCAAAACCAAAGACAATTTTTGCTTATTTTTCTTTCCCAAATTCATTCTTTTAAAAATTGAAGCCATCATGCTATAAAAAAACAAATTTTCCAGTCATCACTACTAACCAGTGTTCATTTTAAGATAAGATGAGAAGAGATGAGAAGAGAAGATGAGAAGATGGTGAGGTGAGGTGAGGTGAGGTGAGATGAGGTAAGGTAAGGTAAGGTAAGGTAAGGTAAGGTAAGGTAAGGTAAGGTAAGGTAAGGTAAGGTAAGGTAAGGTAAGATAAGATAAGATAAGATAAGATAAGATAAGATAAGATAAGATAAGATAAGATAAGATAAGATAAGATAAGATAAGATAACCTTTATTGTTGACTCAGCCTTCCATCCTTCTGAGATCCGTAAAATGAGGACCCTGATTGTTGGGGGAAATATGCTGACTCTGTAAACTGCTTAGAGAGGCTGTAAAGCACTGTAAAGCGGTGTATAAGCCTAAATGCTATTGTCATTTTTTACCATGAGCATGCTGGTATACGTTAAAAATGAAATTCTGTTGCCTGTTCTCATTGTCCATTTTGAATACATAGCAGAAAGAAGAAACTTGAGAGTTCATAAGGTGGATGCTATATTTGATTTATATTAAATATGAATGGCTAGTTTTAGCACTAATCGTTAATTTCAGGATAAGTTTGAAATTGTGTTAGTAGTTTCACAACTTGGAACAATTTGTTTCATCTATAGACTAACATAAAAATATTGGGAAAAACTTGTTCTATTGTAATCTGCTGACTTTATGCAACTATCTCAAGCTGCCAATAAAGGAAAATATTTGTTGAAATGAGGAGTCCTTGGTACTCTCTGAGCTTGGTTGTTTTCTTGCAAATGTTTCATGACCCTAACTAGGTGATATCATCAGTGCTAGTCATCAGTGCTAACACTAGCCTTAGCACCAGAGGTGGTATTCAGCAGGTTCTGACCAGTTCAGGAGAATCGGCAGCGGAAATTTTGAGTAGTTCAGAGAACTGGCAAATACCACCTCTGACTAGAGATTTTACAGTACCTTTCCCCTGCCATGCCCACCAAGCCATTCCCACAGAACTGGTGGTAAAAAAAATTTGAATCCCACCACTGCCTAGCACCGATGATGTTACCTAGTTAGGATAATGAAACGTTTGCAAGAAAATAACCAAGTTCAGAGAGCACCAAGGACCCGTCATCTCAAGCTGCATCACCATGGGATAAGACAGATATGGTGTGAATTTCTCATCCTTCATAAAATGTGGTTTCATCTCTTAGAATGTTCAGTAAAGTCTATGTGTCAACTCGCAAAGCATCCCTGAATTGCTCTTGAGCTGCTATGGGCAAGGGGGGTGGGAGAGTGAACTTCACTGCTGCATCAAGCAACTGGTATCTCAGTCAAAACAAGGCCCGTTCCAACCGATACGCCAAGGTCATCTCCACGGGAACCCACGGTAGCCAGAGGGAGGGACTTTTACAACCCGCAAAATTGCTTCATTGGGGAATGTGACTGATGACACATATTGGGGGGTGGGGGAAACAGGATCAGAGACAAACTGCAAATTAACTGAGGTCAGAGTTGGCTCTACCTGGTCTGTGCCGGCTTGAAGCTCCTAATAAAAAGCTGGATTTCTTTTGAAACTTGGCCTGAGGCTCATGATTTAATTAGGGCATCTGTCATTGAAATAGTTGACCTACAAGAACTACACAGCATTGTTTAAAATTGCAGCCAAGGTAATGGTATCAGGCTATTGAGAGTTGATCTTGAAAAAATTCCAAAAACTGCCAAAAAGATCTAGTGTCGAAAATCATGCAACTCAGCCAATTGTATTAGAGAGCATATAAGACCAGTCTGAGAAGATTAACCCAGAGGTTTAAAGGAATACCTTGGAGCATTTACAGATTTCATTTCAAAACCATTCCTAAGGAGGTTAGGAAGATCAAAACAATCGTGAGGGGCAGGAAGTTAGGACTCTCAGCCCTCTGGAGATTATAAGGCTCTTAAAGGGCATAATTCTTGTCACAAGGTCAAGCTTTTACAATGCAATTAAAAGGGATTTTCATAACATCAACGTACCACATCAAAGGCTGTTGTGATGAGGCGATTATTGCCCCGTGGAGAGCAAAGGTTTAACATGAAATCAGACTGATCTAATCATTTTACTAAGCGCCACTTCTAAAGTTTCCCAATACTACCAAAACTCTAAGAAATGATGGTTAAAGGGGACAGATTTTATCTGCTGCTATTTCCCCCTGGCAATTACCTCTAAAACATAACTATTACACTATCAGGGACCCAAAATCAGTCTTCGTTTATTGAATCTTAGAGAACTTTGACACAGTCACTGGATTCACCTATCAAATCTTTCCCAGCAAATTCAAGTTGTCAAGCTAGTGTCCATTATTACTGAGCTCCTACAGCTGGCTAATGGAAGGATACAAAAATGACAGCCAGTTTATCCTCGCCCTCATTCTTCCTTTCTCATGTTTGCTTTTACAGCCAGACAGAAAAAAAATGTGGAGAATCAGGAAATTACTGTGTGGGACGAGCAGGAAATTAAGACCACAGGGTGTCTCGGCTGCAGGAAAGTAGTGAAAAATGCTAGAGCAGGGTACTTAGATCTGGCCCACAGCTGCAGGGCTACCCTGGAAACAGCAAGGGACCGGCCCACGGTGCCTCTACCATGAAAACGGAGCTCAGGAGGACCACATACAGCCCACCCGAGCTCCGTTTTTACTGTCAGAAGGTTGCAGGAGGCCATCACAGCCGAAAATGGAGCTTGGGAGCCTGTTTTCGCTGGCAGAGTGCTTGGGCCACCACAGGCACCCCGATACGAGTGACATCGAGCTGGCCATGCCCACCCTGGCCACACCCACCCCGGTCCCCTGAGGTCAAACACAACCCTGATGTGGCCCTCAATGAAATCAAGTTTGACACCCCTCAAAATATCTATAAAGCAGGAGTTTCCAACCTTGGCAACTTTAAGACTTATAGACTTCAACTCCCAGAATACCTCAGCCAGCATGACTCACTGAGGAATTCTGGGAGTTGAAGTCCACAAGTCTTAAAGTTGCCAAGGTTGGAGACTCCTGTGAGGACAGAAGTTCTAGGAGGTCCAAGAGCAGAAGTCCCAGCCAACAAGAAATTTACAGCTCCATCAGAAACTATGAATTATATCCTTTGGATCAGGAAATGGAGTGATAATCAGGTTAGTTAGTTTCCTAGAGAGGCAGCATTCAAACTGGTGCTATCTCTGAGAATGAGAAGAGTCTCAGAGAAGATCAGCTTTTTCTCCAGCTGATCTTCTCTGAGACCCCTTCCATCGTCAAGGGAATGTCAAGAGAGAATTCCCAGCTAGGATTTCTCAAATTGGTGGGTGGTCAGAGATGTGTTAGAGTGATGATGGAAAGACTTGTTAACAGAAACAGAAATAGGCCTCTGCAGTTTTCAACAGTATTGTAAAGATTTATCTAAGAAGAAAAGTAAAAGAAATTAAGGACTTGAAAATAAATTAGCATTGACAATTAAGTCCCAAGCAATACCTCACCAGCTTCACCAGCAATATCAATAGCACTTAACAGTTATATACCACTTCACAGTGCTTTTACAGCTATGTCTAAGCCAGGGGTGTCCAACCTTGGCAACTTTAAGACTTGTGGACTTCAACTCCCAGAATTCCTCAGCCAGCAAAGCTGGCTGAGGAATTCTGGGAGTTGAAGTCCACAAGTCTTAAAGTTGCCAAGGTTGGACACCCCTGGTCTAAGCGGTTTATAGAGTCACCATATGGCCCCCAACAATCTGAGTCTTTATTTTATCAATCTCAGAAGAAGGTTGAGTCAACCTTGAGCCGGTGAGAATCAAACTGCTGGCAGTCGGCAGAATTAGCCTGCAATACTGCATTCTAACCACTGCGCCACCACAGCTCATCTACATTTAGAGTAAGTGTAAGACTGGAAAGTCAACGGATAGGACGCTTAAAACTTTTAAAATTACCTGTGCTATGGAGGCTTGAGGATTACCTATCAAATTTTTGAACATCCGTTTGGAGACCCACTTCATTTGGTGAAAGAAGGAAGTGGAATAAGTGATTTTTTGGAAAGTTTTCCCTTTGGTTTCGCCCTTTGAAGACAACTTTTCCAGTTCTGTTTTGGTTTCTTGATTGTAAGAAGAACCGCAATACTTCTCTACCAATTTCTCTATCAGTGTCTGATCTTGAGTACCATCTTTAAAGAGATAAGAGGAAAATTAATTACATTGAATATGGTTTTGAATTCTCTGGGTGGGACGGCAATTTGGCTTGATCATTGTGAGAGTATTATTGCTTAAATACAGGTGGTCCTCAACTTACGACCACTGTTGAGCTCCACGTTTCTGTTGTTAAGCGAGGCATTTGTTAAGTGAGTTTTGCCCCTTTTTTTAACCTTTCTTGCCACCGTGGTTAAATGAATCACTGCAATTGTTAAACTAGTAACAAGATTGTTAAGTCTGACTTCCGCATTAACTCCGCTTGCCAGAAGTTCGCAAACAGTGATCATGTGACCCAGGACGCTACGACCGTCATAAATATGAATCAGTTGCCAAGGATCCGAATTTTGATCATGTGACCAGGGGGAAGCTGCAACGATCATGTGAAAAATGGTCATAAGTCACTTTTTCGGTGCTGATGTAACTTTGAAGGGTCACTAAATGAACTGTTGTAAGTTGAGGACTACCTGTATTTATGCTAATGATGAAGACAGAAAACTGTACAAACTATAGATCTCATCAAAGCCAATTCAGAACTGTTTGTTTGTTTGATCCATATCTGCTTTTCTTTAAGGAACGTGAGGTAGCATACTGATATCTCTTTCTTTTAATTTTCCCCATAACTATCTTGGGAGGTAAGTTAAACTACTGACTCAAAGTCAGTAGTTTCTGTGTAGCTGAGTTCAAGCTGTGAATTTCTGTGTAGCTGAGTTGACTTGCATCTCATTAATCATGATCCATCCCACAAATTGGTGGGAGTGTATGTATCCTTTTATTTATTTTTGATTTTTTTTAACCACATGTTTACATCTAAAGGTGGCTTAAAGTGGAGCATACCAAAATCTAAGATGAAATAACAACACTACCAACATTAAAAGGTTGGAAAAAAGACAGAAATCTGGTAGTATCTTACCAGAAGGCAAAACAAGAGAAGTAACCTAGAACTAAGGAGAAATTTCCTAACAGTGATATCAATTAGGAGAACGGCTTACCTCCAGAAGTTGAGTGTGTTCCATCACTGGAGGCTTTTAAGGGTTTCCTGCTTGAGCAGGGGGTTGGACTAGATGACCTCCAAGATCCTTTCCAACTTTGTTATTCTGTTATTCTTTTTTGGCTAACAACTGTATCAACATTTGTGGATTGTAGCTCACTTCATCAGATACATAGCATAGCTAGAGGTTTGATAAGGCTATGATTTAATGCAGTCCAATTAATCCTCCGGAACGAAATGTTAATCTGGGCAATTTTTCTGGCATCAATTTGTCAGGGCTGGTATTAAAATATGATCCATGTAATGATGGATGCAGCTTTTCCTACTTTCTGTGACTCCATGATTAGTGGAAAGCTATGCAGAATTTGGGAATACTTACATACAAATGAATCTAATGTTCTTGGATATGTATTTCTTGCTGTGCCATTTGACTATTCAGATCCTAAGGGAGCTCAATGACAGAGTTGACAGTGCAAAAAAACCTTGATTGCCTCTCCATGTAACATACAAGATTGCGAACAATGTTTTGCACACTATACCTTTGTCAGTTTCATTATGAGAAGCCACAGCTGTCGAGTCTCCATTAATGATATCCAGGAAAAAGTCAGCAGGGTTATTGTATGGTTCACACTCATAACCTCAAAAAGAAAGAAAAGAAACAAAATGCTTTTGCATCACTTCAACGGTGAAAATATAGGGCAAAGCTTTTTTGACAATACCACAAACATCTACATTGCTGTTGGTTAGAGCTGGCCCAAACAGCCTTCCTAGATCCTTTATTTTATTTATTTATTTGTTAAGCATGTATTAGATAACAGATATAATTATAACGTGATTATGATTACATGAAATGGGTACGGATAAAAGGGGACATTAGGACAGGGACAGTAGGCACGTTGGTGCGCTTATGCATGTCCCTTACAGACCTCTTAGGAATGGGGTGAGGTCAACAGTCTAAGGTTAAAATTTTTGGGGCTTGGGGAAGAGACCACAGAGTCAAGTAGTGCATTCCAGGCATTGACCACTCTATTGCTGAAGTCGTATTTTCTGCAGTCGAATTTGGAGCTTTAAGTTTGTATCTATTGGGTGCTCATGTATTGTTGTGGTTGAAGCTGAAGTAGTCATTGACAGGGAGGACATTGTAGCAGATAATTTTATGTACTACGCTTAGATCGGACCGAAGGCGGCGTAGTTCTAAGTTGTCTAAGCCCAAAATTTCAAGCCTGGTGGCATAAGGTATTCTGTTGCGAGCAGAACAGTGGAGGACTCTTCTCGTGAAATATCTCTGGACTCTCTCGATTGTTTTAATATCCAATATGCAGTGCGGGTTCCAGACAGATGAACTGTATTCGAGAATTGGTCTAGCAAATGTTTTGTATGCTCTAGTTAGCAGTACAATATTACCAGAGAAGAATTTTATTCTTTAATAAAATTGAGAAATTGGGTTAGACATCTTTTCTGATTTTTTCCAGGAGAAAAAATCATATCCACCAATTTCAAAAATGCAAGACTCCACCTTAGCAAAGATAGTAGCACTGCTGTCTTCCTTTGGGATTTAATGCTAGTGACTGGTACCAGGGGGGCCACAAGTCAATGGAGAGTTGATTATTTATAGCAGGAGTCCTCAACTCCCAATCCGTGGATCGGCACTGGTCTGGAGCATACCAGAAACCAGGCTGCACAAACAAGTGAAGTCCCATCCACGAGATGCAGGCAGCACATGAAACCACAACCCCCCTCTGGTCCACGGAAAAACGTCTCCGTGGAACCATTCCCTGGTGCCTAAAAATAGGGGACCACTGTTTTAGAGGAGGACAGGACATCTCCATATATATCTCCCATGGCTACTTCTTAATAAATGTTTCCCCAAAATTATTTCATAACAGCACATTGTTAGACTCCAAAGTTTCCAAAATACATGTACGGTATTTGGTACACCTTATTTATTGTGTAACAGAACTGAGGAAAGCCTTTGGAGGGTGGCTTCTGAAGGCCACATTTCTACAAGGCTCATTGTGGCAGGCTCGGACTTTTTCCTCAGGTTTTTGCGCATAAATACACACACAAAGAAGAGATACTAAGAAAACTGAAGAAAGGCCTCGAAGTATCATGAGTGTCTGAAGACCAAGACCATCTGTGGTTACTTTATGCAAAGCCTCTCCAAGATCTAATACATAGGTTTAAATTAAGCAAGGTAATTTATAATTTTATTCATATTGATACTTCATGAGCAATCCTGCCTTTTACTGTTGTCTTTGAACTAAGAATCATATTGGATCTTTGGCAGATTAATCTCAGAGGTAAATACTTCTCCATCAACATTATGGTTCCAAATTAAACTAGAACCCAGATCTGGGGTTTTGTTTTTTGTTTTAAAGAAAAAGTGATATTCAGCCATTCAATAAATAGCCTTCTGGACACTTACCAATGGCCTTGAAGTATTCTAAGGTATTCTGAGCAGGTCCATGATACAAAAGTCTTCCTGCAGCCAACAAGGTCAGCTTATCAAACAGCCTGAAGATGGAGTAGCGTGGTTGATGGATGGAAAAAATAATGGTTTTCCCTTGCTTGCACATCCTGCACAGAGAGTAGAAATATGTTAAAGACCTAAAGTTAAGTCCTTAAGATAAAGGTTACTATTGATCACTCAAATCCTAGGTTTTGTTTTTTTGGGGGGTGGTGGAAATGAATTAGCAATAGCAATAGCATTTAGACATATACCACTTTACAATGCTTTATAGCTCTCTAAGCAGTTTACAGAATTAGCGTATTAAACATCCACCTATCCACCCATCCATTTATCCATCTATCACTTTGTTTGGCTGTGCAAAATGTCAACATTTTAACTGGTCTTTTTCTTTTCATTATTCTCTTTTCTTTTCAGGGAGTGGCTGGAGCTGTTAAGAAAGCTACTTCTGAATTATATCTTGATCCTCTGATCATGGTGATGATGTTATAGAAAATGACCTTTTATTCTATGTGTGGTCCTTGTGCATAAATCCTGTAGCATCATTTCCTTTTATAGAATCATGGGATCAAAGAGCTGACATGGATCTCGGAGATCTTCTAGTCCAACCTTTGGCTCAAGGCAAGAGTCTTATACATCACAGCCAAATGGTTGTCCAGTCTCTTTTTGAAAACCTTGAGTTATTTTCTGTGTAGTTTCTGCACGGAGCATTTCGTCTATGTCTAGCAATTACCTTTTCAAGAGCAGCAAAACAGCATTGGCAGTGCTGGCATCAAGACCAGTGGTTGGCTCGTCTAAGAACAAAATGGCCGGGTCAGTAATGAGCTCCATTCCAATATTGGTCCTTTTCCTCTCTCCTCCTGATATACCACGAATGAACTGAGTTCCAACCTAATGGAAAACCGGAATATCTATGATACCGTCTTCTTGAAAACATTTTCAGGCAGAGATTATTTAGCACCCAACAATACAAGGCTCATATTTGAATTGGATAAAAAAACAAAACAAAGGGGAATATTTGTAGCTCAGGATTGAAATGAAGGGCCCTTGGTGCTCTCTGAGCTTGGTTGTTTTCTTGCAGATATTTCATAACATCATGACGGTGTTACCTAGTTTGGGTAATGACATGTCTAGAAGAAAACAATCAAGCTCAGAGACTACCAAGGACCCTTCCAAATTGGAATACGTATTCATTATCAGTGGTACATTAGCACAGACACGATGTCACTTTTGGGCACCCTTTGCTGAAACCTAGTTCAAGGTTGATAAGAACAAGACACAGCAATATCATCATCTTTTAATGACCCCATAATCCCTTGCAGGATGGAGTCTGGGCAACTGAATGGATTTGGGTGATTACATGCCGGATGCCCTTCCTGTCACCGATGCAGAGTTATATTCAGCAGATATATTCTCAGCATGTCCAGAGAGAGAAATACCTGCCTCTACCTAGGATCGAACTCCCCATAGCGATATCTGGTTTAAGAATGCACTCTGTACTTCACCTCCATTTATTTGTCTAATCTCTTAACCTGTTCATATTTACATCTGCATTGTTAATCAGAAAGCTAATAACACACTGCTTTCATCTCATTACGACCAATTTCTCTCAGTCTGGTAGTTTAGTAGCCAGAATTTTGTATTCTTCATCTTTAACTTTTATTTAATGTAACAATCTGGTACCACATAAACTCTCTTGTTCTTCACTTCTCCCAAAGATTGATATTGTGTGGTAGTTAGGCTATTCAGGAGTGTTATAGGTCACAGGTCTTACTATTAATGCCACAAAGAGTCCAGCTAAATTGCATTTGACTTTAAAAAAAAAAATGAAAAGAGGAATATTCCCCATATTCTGGGGGATATGGATATAGGTATAAAGGTGTCATGCCCCTGTCAGTGGATATATATTTTCATTTGGTGACTCTGGAATATTTGTCAGCAATATATCTTGATTTTCTAGATACCCCGTATTCAGAATTTTGCCCATAACATACTTATGCAGGTAGTCCTCGACTTACAGCAGTTGATTTAGTGACCGTTCAAAATTACAACAGCACTGAAAAAAACCAGCACTGACTTATGACCATTTTTTCACACTTACAACCTTTCCAGCATCCCCATCAAAATTCAGATGCTTGGCAACTGGTTCATATTTATGACGATTGCAATGTCCCGGGGTCGTGGGATTCCCTTTGGCAACCTCCTGACAAGCAAAGTCAACAGGGAAGCCAGATTCATTTAACAACTGGGTTATTAACTTATTAAATGCAGTGATTCACTTAGCAACTGTGGCAAGAATGGTCGTAAAATAGGGCAAAACTCACTTGACGAATGTCTCACTTAACAACAGAAATTTTGGGCTCAATTGTGGTCGTAAGTATAGAACCCTCTCTAAGCCTTGATGCCATTCAGGGTGCCAGGGTGAAGTTAGGGGTGTGAGATTAGGCAATGGATCTGGCTTGAATATTTTCATCTGTTTTATTATTCAGAAACTCCCCTGAATTATCAGCTCTGAAATTCTGGCAAAAGCATCACTTAACCATCATCACGTAAGTGAAGGCTAGTCCACTTCTAGTGCTCCCTTTATGGAACTCGGTCCTCCAGGAGAATTAATTTGATTACCTTTGAATCTGCCACTTTTGTCAATCCCAGCTCCTTGATGATCTGGTTGATTCTCTCCTCTTTTTCGTGAGCTTTTACTGTTTTTGGCAGTCTGAGTGCAGCTGAGAACTGGAGGTTTTCCCTCACAGTCAAAGTCCCCATCACAACATCATCCTGGAAATACAAAGGAAACAATTCGCTTATTTCCATTTATTTTGCTTTGAACCAGAAATTAATGATGTATTTATTTGTCAAATTTCTACACTGCTCATTTCACCTGAGTGACTCTGGGTACTTTACAAATAAAAATGCACCATGGTGTAAAAACAGAATGGAAAAATACAATTAAAAATAAAGTTTAAAACATTTTTTAAAAATTAAAACACTATTGAAAGCAAAGTTAAAAAAATTAAAAGTGACACTGGGTACTTTACAAATAGAAACACACAGTGGTGTAAAAAGATAATTGAAAACAGAGTTTAAAATAAAATTAAAAATAGAGAAAACGTTTTTTAAAAAAATTAGAACATAACTGAAAGCAAAGTTAAAAACTAAGAGGGTAAAAAAGTTAGAGGCAGAGACAATGCCTTCAAGCCATCGACTCCTGGGCTTACACATCACTCTTAGACCTGCATGCCAATGGACAGAGCCAGTCTTGATATTCTTCCTGAAGGCCAGGAAAGCAGGGCCCCACATCACCTCTGGAGGTGAGATGTTCCAAAGGACAGGAGCAATGACAAAGAAAGTTCTCCTCTTAGATCCCACCAGTCATTGGGATAAGATAGTTTCTTCAGATAACCTGGCCCCATGCTATGAAGGGCTTTAAAGGTAATACTCAACAACTTGAATTGGACCAGGATGCAAATTAGCACCCAATGCAGCTTGGGTAGCAGTGGTGTTATGTGAGTAATCCTAGGGGTATCCCAAACCGCTTTATGCTGCCATATTCTGCATCAGTTACAGGTTCCAGATACTCTTCAAGGATAGCCCCGTATGGAGCGCGTTGCAGTAGTCCATATGGGAAGTGACCAGGGCATGAGTGACTAAAAGATGAGTTTCTCAATCAGGAAAGGATGAAATTAGTCCCGAGCAACCTCCTTGCCTCAGCTGTTGGAAGCTGTCTTGGGGTTAGCTTGGAGTTCACCAGGCATATGGTCTTGGAGGATTTCAATCTGATATCCCTAAATAACAGGGGAGCTTCCTACTCACAGCCACTCCACTTATCAGAACTCAGTTGAAACTTGTTGCTCCCCATCCAGAATCCCTCCCCCCAACCTCCAAGCATCACAAAGGGGCATCCACAGCATCACATACTTCCTTCAGGATGAATATTTATACCTGAATATTATCAGAAAACTGTTGATACCTCATCCTGTGGTGATCCCACCCAGCGGCTTCATTTAGATAATTAAAAAGAGCAGAGCACTGACCACACCAATGGGAAATGGTCCAGAGGAAGGAGGTGAACCAGCCTAAAATTGTGGCCCCCACCCCTAGCTCCCAAAACAAACCCAAAAGCAAACCATAGTTCATGGTATTGAAAGTCATCATTTCCCCCATCCAGCTGCTGCCAGGGCTCATCCAAAATATGGTGGCCATCAACTTCTGATGCAACCGGTAAAGGCCATGAACTCCCGAGCTGCTTCCAACAGTCAATCCCAGGCAGTGGTGGGATTCAGCCGGTTTGCACCAATTCAAGCGAACTTGTTGTTAAATTGCATACATACTTCGCTATCAAAGTGGATCCTGGGCGCTGTGCTGCAATGAAGAAATGGGCAACAGAGCAGCCGGTGTGAGGAAAGGAGAAGGATGCTTTCCCTCTTTCTTCTCCCTGCTCCTCTTCCTTCCCTTGTGCCAGCCGCTTCATTTCCCATCTCTCCATTGCAGTACAGTGCTCAGGATCCACTTTGATAGCGGGGAGGGACGGTAATTTAACAACTGGTTTGCCCAAGGTCAAGTTGGCCATCGTGGGAGGATCGTCCCGCATGTGCAGCGGAGCTGGAAGATGGGAATGGGCCATGTCTCCCGCCAACAGCCAACTTGACCCTGGGTGAACCTGTTGTTACATTATTTAAATTCCACTACTAATCCCAGGGCAGCAAATTGAAGCCTTCACAGACCATAAGCCTGGTGAACTCCATAGCCAATTCGTAGCCTGGAGGTTGCGATGCAGCAGAGAGACTGGTACAGTAGCAACAGTCCCAGCTGACCCCACTGCCTATCTCATGTGAAACAGGATCTCACAACTGGCAACTTGTGGAGCAACACCTCTGAAGGCCAACACATAGTCCCGGATGACACCTGTTTGACCCAGGTCCCATGACCTGCAGGTCTAAGAAGTGCCATACCTCAACTCCTACCAGGTACAGTTCAGAACTCCACTGCTTTCAAGCCCAGGCACGTCTTGGCATTGCTTGCCAGCAGAGGTGGTATTCAGCAGAGTTCTGACCAGTTCTGGAGAACTGGTAGAGGAAATTTTGAGTAGTTCAGAGAACCGTCAAATACCACCTCTGACTGGCCCTGCCTCCATTTATTCTCTGCCTCCCGAGTCCCAGCTGATTGGCTGGGCCTTCTTTTGTTGCCCTGTACAGGAGAACAGAGCTGGAAAACCGGTTAGTGGGGTGGGGAGGGAATGGGATTTTGCAATATCCTTTCCCTGCCGTGCCCACCAAGCCACACCCACAGAACCAGTAGTAAAAAAAAATTGAATCCACCACTGCTTGCCAGGTTGGCATGCTACTCTCTAATAAAGTCAGAAATGAGGTTCCTTATTAACCAGCGTAGCATTCAACAGCAGCAGCAGCTGAAAACCAGGCCCTCCGTCAAATTTCAAACAACACATGTAACTTTTGCCCCCAGATTTTTGTAGTGCCCCCCCCCAAAAAAAAAGAACAGGAGAAAACATAGTCCACTCTATACATATCCAGATTTCTTTTGCATAAAAGAAATGTACATGTAACAGTTCTGATTTTTCACTGTATTTGATGAACAGTAAGGTGGGAGGAAAAAGGATAATCAATTTACCTGTACTACATAACCAGAGATGCATTTAAAATTGGCAGGCTGGGGGGCACCATTGATGAAAACATCTCCAGTTAAGCCACGAGGATCCTTCCGTGCTGCTAAAATATCCAGTAATCTATAAGAGAAATCAGGACTGCATTGTGTATGCCACACTTTGCTAAACTGAAAAGCACACAAATGCAATTACCACATTTGTATGGTTTCGGTTATAAAAAGAAATCTGCAGCTATGGGGAAACCCTCAGTGAAATTCAGCAGAGAGGTTAGATAGACAGATAGAGAGTTTGGCAGAGTTAATCAAAATCCATCTGGCCCATTTCTCACAGTTTAATCAGCGTTTCTCAACCTTGGCAACTTTAAGATGTTCAACTCCCAGAATTTCTCACCCGGGATTATACCATCCTCACCATAGTTATGAACTGATCTCATGTTGCAAGACTGGAGGTAGTTAAGATCTCAAAGGAAGTAGGACACCATTGAACTATCAAATTATGATTGCACCAGAGTAATTTATGTTACTTTATTAGCAAAGGATTATAGAAAACCATATGTAATCTGGTGGCTCTTCTGGTTAGGAGGCTGGGTTGGAAGTTACCAAGCCCATACTCGAGACTCGGGTGCTGCCTTGGGGGGGGGAGGTGTAAGTACCCATCCTTTGCTCCAGCTCCTGCTGGGGACATAAAAGGAGCCCCCCTCAAGTGGCAATTGTGTTGTCACTGGTAATCCATTCAACCTAAAAGCACCTCAGTGCTTCTGACATGAGTGTATATATATATAACCACATATGTCCAGTGCTGTAAAACTTACGAAGATTTGCCACTGCCTGTTGGTCCCAGAATTGCATTCAGTCCTGGTGTCATTATGCCACTGAAAAACAAACCAACAAAAAAAGTGTCACTTTCTAAGCCAGTAGAAACAAGTATCTTAGGTCAGAAATGTGTCTTGGAAAACTCTGGTATGGGGTACCCCAACAGCCTGTACACTAAAGCAGAAATAGTATTCAGCCAGTTCTGACAGGTTCTGGAGAACTGGTCGCAGAAATTTTGAGTAGTTCGGAGAACCGCCAAATACCACCTCTGACTGCCCCCCCCCCATCTATTCTCTTGCCTCCTGAGTTCCAGCTGATTGGCTGGGTCTTCTTTGGTTGCCCTGCACAGGAGAACGGAGCTGGAAAGCAGGTTAGTGGGGTGGGGCTGGGGAGGAAATGGAGGAGATTTTACAGTATCCTTCTCCTGCCACGACCACCAAGTCACACCCACAGAACCGGTAGTAAAAAAAAAATTGAATACCGCCACTGCACTAAAGGCAAGCAGTAATTCAAAGAAGCTTTTTTGCCACTGCTCAACTTCTTGAAAAAAGAATTTAGTAGGAAACTATTTTACCAAAAAAAAAAAAAATGTTGCCCCAAAATACTGCATGGACTAGTCCAGATGTTTCCAGGCATAATTATGAACTTGAAGACACACGAAGAATAGCCAGTGTGGCTGCTAATGGTTCTTGTGGCAAATACTTCCTTACTGACTCACTTAAGTTCTATATTTTGTATTATGCGAAGAGCAAATCTTGCTAACACTTTCCGTACAATCTGTGATTTTTTCTTAATATCCAAGGTATCCTCTGCCTTAGTTGCTTTTTCTTCTTGCTAACCTATAAAAGGAAATCCATTCTGCCTTTCCTTGTAAAAATTGTCCACAACCCTCTCATTGTTATGTTGGAAGAAATATCCATCTGGTTCAGTTCCAAGCTGGGAGAAAGACACTGGAAACATGGAGGCTGATTGGAAAGATGGTTTAATGATGAAACAGAACCACATGAGTTTGTGGTTCTGGTGCAGCTGACCAATTGGGTTGATGAGTACATGGATTTTTGTAAGTTTCAGAGATGCTGCTTGGGGCAGGGGGCTGTGCAATGTCTGAAATGCCCTTAGGAGATTGTGCAATGTAGTGAGCTTCATTGTAGTGAGAAGACAATGTGTGTCTTCTGCTAAATGGTAGTGGGTTAATCCTATTATGTCCTGAAGGATCATGTCCTGTTCTTCTTAATCCCATCATCCTGGAGCTGAAGGTCTTTTGTAGATAGGTGGCCCAGTCTTTCTTAATGGGGACAAAATATCTGCTGGGGGGGGGGCGCTATTAAGAAAGATTGAGTCTGCTTCCTGCCTTTAAAAAACATGTTTCTCCATTTCTCATTTAGGAAAATATAATATTCTGTCTTTTTAATATTTCCCAAAATATTTCATTCTTTCAGGGAAGTGGGCTTCCCACTGTTGCTTTTCTCTGCATCTTTTCAAACACAGTTTAAAAGCTAGATGAGTAAATGAATTGAAAGTACTTCTAGATACTGAAGAACTGAAGAAGCTTTTTGGATGGGAAGCAAAACGACTTCAAGGAAAAACAAAGGAAGTCCAATTCCCTTTTGAAAAAGTACTTTTGGGACAACCACGACCTGGATGACTGAGAATCTCCATAGACACCTAGATACCAACAGTCCTTAGCTTACAACAGTTCGTTTTGTGACTGTTAAAAGTTACAAGGGCACTAAAACAAGTGACTTGTGACCATTTTTCTGACGTATGAACATTGCAGCATCTCCATAGTCATGTGATTTACATTCAGATGCTGGATAACTGGTTCATATTTGTGATGGTTGCAATGTCCCAGGGTTATGTGGTCACCTTTTGTGACCTTCTGACAAGCAAAGTCAATGGGGAAGCCAGATTCAGACAAATGGCTGTCCAATCTTTTTTTTAAAACTTCCAGTGTTGGAGCATTTACAGTCTCTGGAGGCAAGTTGTTAATTGTTCTAACTGTCAGGAAATTTCTCCTTAGTTCTAAGTTGCTTCTCTCCTTGATTCGTTTCCATCCATTGCTTCTTTTCACTTGACAACTAGGTTACTAACTTAACAACTGCAACGTTTCACTTAACAAATGTGGCAAAAAAGATCATAAAAGGGGCAAAACTCACTTAACAAATTTCTCACTTAGGAACATAAATTTTGGGTTCAATTGTGCCCCTAAATTGAGGACTGCCGGTAATAATAAATTGAAATCCATTGATCCAAATACGCAGAGACTTGAATTCCTTTTCAGGAGTTTTTGTGTGAAAAATAATAATGTTGACTTCAGAATATAACCATGACCTCAGAGATACTCTCTGAGATTATGGTGTAATTAAGTTTGATTACTTCTGCCTTCATGAAACATTGTTTGGATATTCTGCAGGGAGTAACCCTTTTACTTTTCACACACAGAGAGTAATATAATTCAGTTAATTATTTATAGCATCACACACCGATCCCATGTCATAATGAACTTCTGGGTCCACACAGGTCAAAACGATGATGGAAACTTAACATTTAAAGGAAGATCCAAACGTTCAAGGACAGGAGACAACTGATCCTGATGTTAGAATAGAATAACAGAGTTGGAAGGGACCTTGGAGGTCGTCTAGTCCAACCACCTGCCTAGGCAGGAAAACCTCCACCACTTCAGACAAATAGTTATCCAATCTCTTCTTAAAAACTTCCAAAGTTGAAGCATTTACAACTTCTGGAGGCAAGTTGTTCCACTGATTAATTGTTCTAACTGTCAGGAAATTTCTCCTTAGTTCTAAGTTACTTCTCTCCTTGATTAGTTTCCACCCATTGCTTCTTATCCTGCCCTCAGATGCTTTGGAGAATAGCTTGACTCCCTCTTCTTTGTGGCAGCCCCTGAGATATTGGAAGACTGCTATCATGTCACCCCAGTCCTTCTTTTCATCAGACTAGACATACCCAGTTCTTCATATGTTTTGGCCTCCAGTCCTCTAATCATCTTTGTTGCTTTTTTCTGCACTCTTTCTAGAGTCTCAACTATACTTTGTGTTTGCGTAATACTTTCCAAGCTGTTGGAAAGTCAACCAACTGTTAGATCTAGAGAACACCTTATTTCTCATATCTTTTCCTGTGCTATCTGTTGGTTACACTCCATCCCCACGGGATTTTGTAGATTCATCTCATATTTTGTTCTCTTCTAGCTGATTCTGAGGATAAGATTTTTTTAGGATACAATCTGAGTCGGTGAAGATGGACTAGAGGTTTAGTCTTCTGAACTTTCGGACTCGTGGTGAAGCCCATCCCCAGGGACCTTCTTTCCACCTTTCAATATATATATATATTGAACATATATTAGATAAGAGTTCAAATATTGACTGCCCAGGAATGGACTCAGCTAGTAAATCAGCTGAAGATGAATAAAGCACTCCTTACTATGGAAGCCACTGGGGCCTAAATAAATCTATGCAAGCCTAAATTATGAGAGACAATTTAGTATAGTGGTTAAGAATTAAACTAGAAGTCATGAGACCATGAGTTCTAGTCCCACGTTGGGCATGATCTTGTGCCAGTCATTCTTTCTCAGCCCAAGGATGGAGAGAATGGTCATCTGCTATAACATCCTACATGTCAATGACTACTTCAGTTTCAACTGCAATAACACACAGGCAATCAATAGAAACAAACTCAAAGTAAATGCACCAAACTTGATTGCAGAAAATACAACTTCACAACAGAGTGGTCAATGCCGGGAACTCACTACCTGACTCTGTTGTTACATCCTCAAACCCCCAAAACTTTAACCTTAAACTGTCTACCGTGGACCTCACTCCATTCCTAAGAAATCTGTAAGGGGGCGTGCATAAGCGCATCAGCGTGCCTACCGTCCCTGTCCTACTATTCCCATTTATTCGTACTCATTTATTATGTATATACTTATACCTGATTATACTTATATGTTTATATGTTATGTTCATACTTATACTTGTTTTCTCATACATGCTTGACAAACAAACAAACAAACAAATAAATAAATAAATAAATAAAAACTACTTCTGAAAGGTCAGGAGTCTTGAAGGTGCACATACACACCAAAAAAGAGCCCAAATTATACACCTGATGCTTCATTGGAGCACAACCTCAACAAAGAGACAAACTCCAAATCCCAGGGATATTATCCAAGTGCCACCATCTGGTCCTAAAAGTTTCCAAAATATTGCAAATTAGCCATGTTAAAAATCCTATGCAAATGTTAAGGATAACTAGAGAGAAAACAAGCTGAGCACGCAAGTGGACTTACTAAATGTACGTACTTGATATCTCTCAAAATTTCTTTTTCAACTATTTTTCGACAGCCTATAAATCCACTCTTTGTCTTCACTCTGAAGCAGATGTTACGAAAAGCGACAGTACTGGGTTTTGTTGACTGATTCTGGATCCCATTTGTATTGCAATCTGCCATCGGGACAATGACTTCTGGGCTCTGAGACATCTTTCTGGATTATATTTACTCCTAGGAAATACAGACGTGTTATTTTTCAGAAATTCACTGTCTTTCATTTAATGCTTTATTTTATCATGCAAATAAAAAATGTATAAATGTATAAACAGTATTAAACCATCAACACACCAGCTGAAAATTAATACACCCTGAAAAATTATAAATTGAACTGTTTCAAAAATGTTGGTGATATTATTCAAAAAAATTAGTCCTTTTTTAAAAATAAAGACGAGTTCAAATGTTAACAATATGCAATTATGAACAATCCAATGCTACAAATCCGTTATAGATTTCTGCCTTCTATGACGTAAAAATTATTTCAGGCATTAACCCACAGGATATCAGGATCCTGAATCCTAATATCTCCCAAATACTAAGAATATACCTATGTGCATTCTTAACATTCCTTGATTGACCCAGATAAATAAAATATAAAAATAATCATGAATCAAAACTTTATGCAAAAAATATCATTATACATTGGAACTTTGCTTTTTAAACATATCCCCAAAGACTCCTGGACTTAGTTATTGATTTTTGAAAAGTTTTTATATTCTAAAAATGAGAAGATAAAGTAGTATATTTCCAGACATCTAGATTTAACAAGCTTAAGGATTTAATTAATCCCATATCAACGTTAAATGGATTTTATGTGGATTTTAATTATTATTTTCCTTCTGTAATGTTCAGTTTATTTTAAGCCCATATCAATGCTAAATGGATTTATATGGGTTTTAATTATTTTTTCTTTCTATTATGTTCAGTTTATTTTAATCACTAGATAATATACGGCATGTCATTTAAAATAAATAAATAAATAAATACATGCTATCTAGGTGCATGTCTAGATAGAGAGAAATATAGTGGGAAGGAAGGAAGGAAGGAAGGAAGGAAGGAAGGAAGGAAGGAAGGAAGGAAGGAAGGAAGGAAGGAAGGAAGGAAGGAA